CGCATGTTGCACATTTGCCAAGACATACGCTGACTTCTTTATATTTATGGATACTTCCCTGTATCTGGTTTGGTATTTTAAAGAGCTTTTAAACTACTATTATCAACTCTGTAACAGTCAGGCAAGGTTAACCTGTCTTTGCTACCTGTGGTGATGAGGTTTAATGCGGCAGGGACTCCGATGAGCCTTGGCAGTCGCTGTGTTCCCCCTGCAGCTGGCAACAGACCCAGAGTCACCTCTGGAAGCCCCAGTTTGGCCTGAAAAGGACACAAAGGCATACAGTTTGATAAATTGAAGATGCTGAACAGCGTCGGGTTTGCTTTACATTCACAGAGACAGCTTTCTCTGGACAGTAAATACATTACACAGATTATTACATGGCCTAGAAGGGTGAAAAACATTCTCTCTGTGTTTTTCTAAATCGACCAAACAAAAATGAACAATAACAATTCGATGAACAGTCACTCTGTAAGATGTGAGATAACGCTGTCAGTTAAGACATTGATGCAGCTCGACACTGACATTAGAGAGACGCTGACAGAGAGAGACAGAAAGAGATCCAAAGCATGAACTAACTTTAGAGTGAGCAATTCGATAATGACAGCCAAGTGCTAACTCAAGGCCTCCGCCTAAAGCGCTTCCCTCTATGGCTGCCACCACCGGCTTGTTCGCAGCCTCGATGGCGTGGATCATCGGTACCAGCGGAGGTCCGGACATGTCTGACGCAAACTCCCTGATGTCGGCCCCTGTTACACAAAAAGAAATGAATGATGTGAACAGGAAATTCAAACAGAAAGACAGAAACACGCATCTGCTTACACATCGACACACACCAGGAGGAAGAAATAAAACTTATTAAGTTTATCAAATAACACAGTTGTAGATGTTATTTAATACAGATAAACTATTGAAGAATATTAATACAAGGCTCCTGGTTTACTTTTGATTCTGTCCTAATATGGTTCCTGCTCTCATCAGCACTTGAGGTGCTATTTTTGTGAACGCTGAGCGTGCAGCTTTTCTATGTGTTCTTGATAAAATCCAGCTCCAGTTTATATGAAACAATAACAGTAATATCCTCTTATATTTATTCTCTCCATGGTTGCTTCCAGGCTAAAGTTGATCAAATCAACACAAAACAAATTATAACTTTAAAATCTATGAAATATGCTTTTCATTCACAATGCGTTGCTTTTACACATTTATATACTTTTATACAGAAAAGAATAAACATGTCCTCACCTCCACAGAATATTCCATTCTGGCCACAGATGACCACAGACTTCACCTTTGGCTCACTGAGTGCTCTCTTCACCGTGTCAACAATGCCATGCCTCACCGCTGCACTGTATAAAATAAACACAAACATTTTTACATCATACTGGATGTACAAAAGATACAATACAAAAAGTCTATCCTTTAAATTATTATTAGCAAGGCTTAAGGGACAGTACAGACTTTTCTGCTACAGCCTACATACATTTTAAATGTTACCCCAAAAATAAATGTACCCAATATAAACAAGCCTTACAATATATTTTATTGCATCATTTCTATGTGACGCTCTGAACATGGCAAATAATTACCATTTACTTATTTTCTATGCTTCCACCCTTCACTGTCACAACCAATTTCGATGAATTCATCTTAAATAAAAGGCAGTGAAAAGTGCCCGGTGGCATGTTAAATTCAGCAGATGTGCATTATTTAGAATATGACATACATTATATATGGAACAGGTTTCTGTCAAATGTGGCAGCGGTGGCCTAAATAGCGCAGCAAGCAGGATGAATCTTTGTGAGAAAAATGCCTCTGCCTCATTACCACAACTGAGGTGCCCATGAGCAAGGCTTTCTAACCATTAACTGCTCCAGTAGTGCTGCTCATTCACCAGCAGATCAGGCTTTGTTTGTAAAAATCCTGCATTCAAAATGTTACTTAAATAAAAGATACAGAAGTATTACCAGCTAAATATACCTAAAGTATTAAAAGTATTCATTGTGCAGCACAATGGCCCCCGGGGAAGTCATAATAACAGTAGGAGACTTTATTATTATTCATTTCTGGGTAAGCAACAACATTAAGTGGTTGTAGATCAAGGTTGAGCTTATTTTAACTACTTTATGTACTATTAATCTACAACAATGCATCATATTTTAGAATCTCTTTTAATGTAAAATATTAACCTGCAAAGTACAATATTCTTCTCTTAAGTACAATGCTTGAATAAACCTGCTAGTTATCTTCCACCATTGATTTAACTCTTTTTATATCTTGTGCTGACAGTGAAGTAATTTCTCTTTAGCACACAAACTTGTCATGTGCACCTTTACTTGTGCAAGTTTGTCCTTGGACCTCTAACGCTTCTATAAAAGACCAATCTTGCATTAAACCGTCTTCCCTCAAGATAAACAAACACTTGAGTGAACATCATGGACCTTGTTTTTCCACTTCAGCTCACCTGAGTGCGTTGACAGGCGGATTCTTGAGAGTAATCAAGCCAACAGAGCCCGAAACGCAAGAATACTGAGCCATGGAGCCTGCCGAGCAAACACTGCAAGCTATCACACTTGTTGTTCGTGTGAAGAGTGAACTTTGTAACGTCCCTCCTGCTGGCAGGACTTAACGCTACCCTTTAACACACTTTTTTTTTTTTACTCCATGAAGCCACGCGTAGTTCCTCAAACGGTCTTCCTCGTCGTCTTGGTGATTGTGTTCCAGTGTCGGTTGGTTAGCAACCACCGTTAGCAACCACCAGCGCACCCGTCTGGCCTGGAGCCGATCAGAAAACTACATTCTCTCTCTTTATCTTTCTGTTGTGTCTCTTTTAATACGCCGTTACATACATTATGTAAAAGTAGCACGTAAATAACTATCTACTAATATATATATATATGTTTTATCTTTAATATAACAATAGCCACAAATCTGTGCGGTTGTGACGTCACTGCAGCCGTTGCCATGGATCCGCATTAAAAAACGGATACGATTCCTTTCCTATTTATATTTGTTTACAATCTACAGAAACACTTGATTTGTATGAATATATATATATATATATATATATATATCACTGATATAAACATTGTATGTTGTTGGACATTGTTGCTTTTTATATATTTATATATAGTATATATTGGAAAAGCGTTCATGTCACATTCATCAGTTTACACATTATCTGACTTTTCAAACAGTTGGAAAATTACTATGTAAAAGAAAAAAATAAGTTATTTATATAAATACTTTATGTGTAAGTTCTTTACCTTGTGTTTCATTAAAAACTTGTTATTTTATATACAATTTTATTTCTTTATATTTATTCCTTTTCTTTTATTATGTGTGTTTATTGTTGTTGATATTGGTGGTTCAAAATGATCATTTTTCACTGTATCGACATATTTGTACAATGTATTGCGATATTTGTACTTCTGAAATTTGATCAATAAAAAAAAGTATAAATACCACTGCAGGGAGATTCACACAGTGCTAAAGCTCTTCCAGAGATTTCCTTACACAACATTATTTACAGTTGAACATGAAAAGAAATACATGAATAAAGAGCGAGCTGTTAAATGTGATAAAAAAATAATATAAGTCACATTATAATTTCACTCATTTATCATTAAGTTGAAGTCTTGGTCCAAATCCAGAAAACATGTTTTTGGACTTTCAGGGATTTTCATTTTATTGTTATGTACCTGTATCCATTAATGGTGGGTGGCTCTGATTTCAGCACTTCATTATGACATCCTTTTTACTTGCTGCCAGAAGTATTTCTACTAATTTCTTATCATTGCTATTCCATCCTTCAAATGAGATGTCACCCATGCACTCCCACACATACAAACACATTACTAATGTTTATTAATTGTATGCCAATAGGACGTATTTACCCAGTATATGTTTATTTTTATCTATGTTTGTTCAGCTTTGTTGTCCTAGTTTTAGCTGTATGTGAGTCTAATTGTTTGTGTACTTTTTGGCTGACAAAGCTTGTTAGTGATTCTAATTTAGTTAACAGACTACATTATTGCTGTTAACTCAAGGCAGTAATGTGACACTAAAGATGCCAGCTGTCGTTAAACTTCAAAGAAATCAGTAAAGCAGGTTTAACATGTAATCAAAAAAAAAACAAAAAAACAATTGGGGCAAGAAAGATGGGTCAGCGAGGGGAAAGGGATTAAATTAAAATGAGTGTTAAAGTTATGGTAGGCAGTGGAGACAGGAGAGAGTGGACAGGCAAGGTTAAGAATGGGGTACTGAAAATGCCCCAAAACTTTGAAAATGGTAGGAAAACACTAAACAGGCTTACGTGAGGAAGAAGAGTCAGTGGGGCCTGTGGTTTTGTACTGTAGGTTTGGGACAGATAGGGATGATGGGGAAACTGAGGGAATTAGGGGTGCAGGAATTCACATTGTAAACATTACTAAGTACGGGTGAGAGAGCACAGGTTAGGGCAATGGTTCCCAACCTGGTGGTAAGGAGGTTGCCAAAGCTTCATGGGGGGGTCGTGAGACCTTCTTGACTTTAACGCATTTAGAAAAACTTAAAAAATATACCCAGTAGGTCTATATTTCATTGTCCTGCATTAACAAAGAGTATGCAGTTATAACATGAATTGGTCAAAAAAAAAAGTAAGTTAAGTATTTATGATTGTTAAAAATGTTTATAAAAACATAATACAGACACAAAATTGTATAAAAAGCTCCTAAAAATGTCACTATTATATATTAAATATTCACATGAAATAATCTGCTTAAAATGAATTGAAACTTGCAGCATTTGTTGTATTATTATCATTGTACAGCTCATCAGTTGTTCTCTATTATTATTGTTATGTATTGAATATAACATGAAATATGTAATTTAGTAATTTACCTCAATAGAAAATTGGTCCCTTAAGGAAAAAAGCTTGGGACTGACTTACACTCCGGAGCAGAAGGTGGTGATAATGCACCAATAAGCTGGATGTAAACGTCTACCGCCATTAAACAACAAGAAGAAGAACCTTAAACCAGAAGGAGAAGAAGAACCAGCTGTTGCCATTGTTTCCTGCTGCGTTTACTGACAACCAGGTGGAGGTGAAACCGGGGTTTGTGGCGCACAATAAGTGAGGAATATGCGCTCACTTGTCGGACTAATCTGTGTTATCACTGCAGCCAGCTTGTACCTGTACTCACTGTCCCTCTACCTTCCCGCGGGACCCCGACGACGTCCTCGTCCGACCGCCGACGGGAAACATGTGGAGACATCAGAGTCCGAGCAGCCTGACAGCTCTGAAGAAGACAGCAGGTGACTGACGATATTAGCTTTTAGTCAGAGTAAATAAAGTCTATATGTTGTTATAGCCGTATAAATATATCTACTGTAGGTTAGTATTGCTCACCCAGTGTCTCCTTCATACACAGACACACAGATAACACCACAACAAGAGTAGATAGATAACAATAATGCTTTATGTTAATGGTGTGGCGTTAAATGTTCACATTGAGTCTGTGTAATAGCTACGTTACACAATTGTCTGACAGAGTAATGGATGAATGAATGAATGAATGAATATTATTTTAGCTACTCTATAAACAGAACTCTTTCTGCTCAGGCTAGACGAATTAAATTATTGGTCAACAAAGCTGTAATTAATCTTTATTTATGCATGTGACTATAGCAATGTTTTATATATGAAATAAGATAGGGCTGCAACTGTTTCATTATTAATTAATAATTTCGTTATTAATTAATAATTATTAGTTAATTCGCCATTAATTTATCTGTTAAATGAAGTGATTAAGTGATTGTTAAGGTCTCTAAATTGTGAAAATGTCCATCATAATTTCATAAAGCTTCAAACCTAAAGTTGAACAGTTTACAATAACACAGAACAAGGGAGAGATTTTGTTTGTTGCGCTAGAAAAAATACTCATTGATTATCAGAAACATTTTCTGATTATTTTTCTTCCATTTACTAATTTATTAATCAACTAGTTTTATTTCTAGTAAACACCGATGAACAAATATGAACAAACGTTTAAGTATCAACCTCCTCAAAATGCTGACTATTAGATGTATGATTTTATATTTGTTAGCAGATATACTGTGTCAATATTGACATATATGTGATTACAGTATCTTCAGTTAGTTTATTTCCCAACCCTGTGTATTCATAAAAGAAGAGCAGATGATGTAACTAACTTGAGTGCGGTTGTTCTCGCAGGTTAAAGTTCCCTTCAGACTTGGAGGAGCTGAGGGAACTGGCCGAGCTCCTGCAGTTTTACAAGACAGAGCACACTGGATATGTCCTGCTACTCTTCTGTAGTGCATATCTCTACAAGCAGTCCTTTGCCATTCCTGGATCCTCGTTCCTGGTAGGGTAAAAAAATAAATGAAAAAAGTTTTAGATGTTCTCTGTACTGATGCTGCATAACAAGGCAGAAACTGTGGACGTTGATATTTATTTTGTTGGATGTTTTAAAACATGATTAAAGCATTTTTTTATTAATTTGTCACAGCCTTTTTACACATTTGACAGGAAAACATGACAAATTGGTTTAAATTTGTCAAACAACTGTCATACCTGGTATGTAAAAAAGGCTTGCATGCTAAAAATAAAAAAAAAGGCACTTGACCTGTATGTGGCGTGCGGCTTGGATCTCTTCTTTAAAGACGCACTGTGGAGGATAAAAATATTCAGCTTGCTCAAGCAACAAAAGGATTGTCAGCCATGCTGGACTTCCCCACTTACTTTAGTTTAATCTGCACAACTGAGTGTTCAGTACAGAGAAACAGCCTCAGCCACATACACCACATGCTGGTTACAGTTATTGTCACCCAACGTCTCGCCCTTAAAACCACTGTAAGACCACAGAGTATTTCTCTCTTTTACAAGAAGAGACACAGTAGATCTGTATGTTCAGAGCTGATCGTTACACAGATGTTATTGATGTCTAATAACCGAGGCCTTCTCCACTTGTCGTTGTGCAGAACATTCTCGCAGGAGCTATATTTGGACCATATGAAGGACTGCTTCTTGCCTGTGTTCTCACCACCGTGGGCTCCACCATGTGCTACCTCCTGTCCCGGGCCTTCGGAAAACACTACATTGTTAACCTCTTCCCTGATAAAGTGTCCATGCTGCAGAGGAAGGTAGGAATTTGTGACACATGGCAAAAAAAAAATTAAGACTGTTGACTTTATCCACAAAATAAATATGCAAAATATATCTTAATACATAAAAACATAACCCCCTGTCTCAACAGCCACAACTATCAGTTACATAGAAAATGATTGTACACATACACTCAATGAAAACCACGTATCCTTGCGATTCTTCTTGTAAAATCTTTAAGGATATGTGATGTAAACCTTCACAGATTTTACCACCTCTCCTAGGATTTGTTATGGACTAATATCTCTGATTTAGTATGAAATATGACACCTATGTGAACGGAAAGTGATGCTACATACTGAGAATGAGTCAGAGACTTAATTGAATGCCTCCATTGAGATATAAAGTTATATTTTCCTGATGCGAGAGCTCTACTTTCACATGAAATTGTGTGGGTTTTTTTAAAATCTGATTCTATAACAAGATCAAATGTGATGATTCGTGTCACATTCCTGCCAGACCTGTTTTATAGCTGCCAAAGTTATCAACGTTCAACCTAATGCAACACCTCTTTGTAACTTTATTGTTGTTACTGTCATTTGACACTTTTATTACAGTATCAGAAACCAGTGTGGCAAACATTGACACAAATTACAGAAAGAAAAGTACATCTACTGTCCTTTCATAGACCATAACGTCTCATTCAACATCTCATCTTTATCTCCCAGGTCGAGGAGAACCAGGACTGTTTGTTCTTCTTTCTGCTCTTCCTGAGATTCTTTCCCATGACTCCCAACTGGTTTCTGAACATGTCTGCCCCGATTGTCAACATCCCCATCACCTTCTTCTTCTGCTCAGTCTTCATTGGTAAGTGTGTGTAGATCACCTCATTTGTGGCTTTCTGGAGTTTTCAGTAAATTATATAATGACACACACACACACACACACACACACACACAGACCATTTTCCATTTTTAGTTCCCCCAGATAAATAATGTAAACACTAAACACTGTAAACAAAGCAACAGGTGGCAATTAACAAAGCTTCAAAGTGCAGATTGCCAGACCTGTTTTTAGTTATCATTCAACCTAATGCAGCTCCTCTTTGTACCAGCATTTGTTATTCTGTGTCTCCAGATTTAAAGTATCTATTACTTTGTCCGATTTTTTACAAATTGACCCAAAAAAATGCATAAATTCAAACAAAAATACCAGAGCATTTCTCTCAATACTGCAAATAAACCCTCTTATAATGCTCTAGCTTGTTCTTGACCTTCTGTCTGCTTTTGTAGGCCTCCTGCCATACAACTTCATCTGTGTCCAGACAGGCGCCATGCTGTCTGAGGTGTCTTCGCTGGATGACTTGTTCTCCTGGGAGCGGCTGCTGCAGCTGCTGGCCATCGCCTGCATGGCTCTGCTGCCCGGCGCCCTCATCCGCCACTTCAGTCAGCGGCGTCTCAAACTGGACGTGCAGCCACAGAACGGGCTCATCCCAGATAAGAAGGTCCAGTGATTTGTTCTGGGAGTGAGTTTGTTCCCTGGTGCTTTGATGCCCCCTGTGTGGCGACTCTACAGAAAACCTTTTGTGAAAAAAAGGTTTATTTTTATCTGGAGTGCTCTACATTTCTGCAGCCACCTGGCGATGGAATTGCAGCTTTTAGAAAAATAAGGCTGGCAGTTCAGTATGGCACAGTGAGATTTGAAGCCAAGTATTTTGTGTTACCAAACACTGGTGTTTCTGTGCCATAGCATGCACAGGATATGTATATAGATGTATGAATGTACAGTAATCATACGGATTGAGTGAAGGGTTTTAAGGTAATGTTGCTCTTGCACTCGTGGCACAGTAATAGTCCTGCTTCAGTGTAAACAGCTGGTGTTTTAAGTGCCTGTCATGCAGTCAAACGTCTACCTCCAACATGGAAATGTAAATATAACAGCCTACCGCTGTTTGTAGTGGCTGGGTGGTTTAGATGATTAGGGATTGTTTGTGTTTGTGAAACACTAACTGTTTGCAGCATATATTGTACAACCTGAAGTTGTATTTTTGTTGTTTGACAATCACATTTTGCAGTTTGGAGGACAATTTGTACTATTTTTCAACGTGTTTAAATTGTGTAATTTAGAGACCAGAGTTTGACCTCAAGAGTGCTGTGTTTGGGAGTAATTTTAGGTAATGTATTAAATTACATTAGGACTTTTGTGACTAAGTGTCCATGTCTCTTTTACCTTGTCAGGATCTCTAATCAGCTGGACTTTTATCTGAAAGGGAATTTCCCGTTAATTCAGTCAGTGTGAGGCCTCTGTTAAATTGAGCCTTAATATTGATTTGAAATCTTTCTCTTTGCTGCCTCTTTTTACGGTCCATGTGTCTTTTGTACAGTAATGGTCCAACAGCATGTACCTGGCACAAAGTGTTATTTTAAAACTCTTTCTTTATGTTGGTTAATATTTAAAATGATATGTCAGCTTTCTGTTTACTTAAAGATGTAAACTCTGTAATTCCCAGTTTGGCTGGTATATTTGTGTTATGTCAGGTCACAAATGATGTGGCACCTTTTTATTTCAGAGATGAAAAAAACGTTGAAATAATAAAACAACGGTGAAGTACTGTTTTATTTTTTTCAAATATTCTTTATTGCTCAGATCCAGGTTGCTCAGCAATACAGTTCACTCACAACTCAAAACAACAGCATGGCTGTTACCAGAAAGGCATGGATCCATGAGATGTACTAAAAATGGATCAAAGTCTGTCCAGCGCACAGTCACCGATTACCTTGAGGTGTTTGGGACCTTTTGGCCCGTGGGAAATGTAGGACTTGAGGGTTTTTACCTACTGAGGAAACAAAAGGAATCTCCCAAATGGTGAAATGCAGTTAAGAAATGGATCCATGTAAAACCACTACTGAAAGTCTAGTGCTATATGAAGTGTAGTACATACTGGATCGCCTACAACAGTCTCATGCAATGCTTTGTGTTTTCTCATTTAATAACAAGACAGGACAAAAAACACTGCTGTGGTTCTGCATACATCTGACCAGACTTTACTAAATCCTTCCTCAGCTAATCCATAACCATTTATTTTGTTTTGGATGGTTGTTGAATGCCCTCTTTTCTGTTCAGTCCCAAAGGCAGAACAAGTTTGATCAGCTTTTGTTTAATCAGACCTGGATACTCTTGTCAAACCTCCTTCTTTTGCATGTCACAGATTCTTTTATTTTGCCTTTCCGATTCCCAAATCTGTTCAAAATCCTAGCTCGGATATTTGTCAACCACAATTTAACATGTAGTATTATTGGTAGTGATCTAAAAGGAATGAATATTAAAGCAAAGAATGCCAGCTAATGCTCCAGACTACATTATTAAATCAGTGTAAATGACGAGAAAACCAGATCAACAGAAAACAAGAAAGAGGAAAAAAAAGCCTAAACTATCCAACCACCATGTGATATGACTAGCAACACAGTACACCCTCAGTGATGTGTGTAATTGTGGTTTTTCTGGTACTGAATATTAATGTCTAGCAACACCCCACAAAACCTAGAAACACCAATCCTTGGAAGTAAAATTAAAAAGGTTACTATCATCTGGACAAGTTTCAACCTCAGATTGCGGTTGGCTTACAGATGTCTCGACAACACCACAGTGAAACCGAACCAGCTGGAGGGAAACCTGCACTTAACTGTATAAAGAGCCAAAAACACAAGAGAGACAGAGGTCTGAAGAGTCCTCTGCAATGCAAGAAAAGAGCCTCAACTTCACAACTGTTCTAAAAAAAAAAGCTACTTCTGACAGTCAAACAAAACCATGACCAAACTACGATTTCCAGTGCTACTGTGAAAAGCCGTTTTCTCCACGACATACCCTACTACAGTGAAGAAGACCACCACAGGAGTCATGCGTTCGAGTAGAAGCACCGTACTGCATTTGTGTGGGTGAGGTCAGGGCATTTGAATCAGGTCTGGTAAGCTATCATCATCATCATCATCATCATCATCATAATCATCATCATCATCAGTATGAGGTACTGTACCGGCTGTGGGGAGGCTTGCTGAAACAGCCTCAGGCATTGTGTGAGTTTGATAGACCTTTTATGTTTTAATTTAGCACTGCTAGTCTGTGTTCACTGGGACAAAAAAAAAAGTATCTGCCTCATCTGATGACAAGTCTGCCCTCCAAAAAGTAAAAAAAAAAAAACAATCAGCTCTCAACAGTTAAAATAATTCCAAAGACAAACACTAACTTTCACTATCATCATACATTTATTTAATTCTTTTTTTCCCTACATCGGTTTTAGTTACTAAAGTCAGCCTTGGATTCTGAGAGGTAATTCTGAAATGTACAGCACAAAAAAAATTTAAAATAAATTCGGTAGATTTGATGAGAAAACCATTTAGAGGTCAGTTTTGAGGGAAGCTGTGACACTCTAAACATCTCCCACCATCTCTCACAACGCAGGTGCAGACTGGTAAGTGTTATAGAGAGACAGAAAACGATGCATTCATGTGTGACTCTATTGTACATGTTTACAGATATACAGTTATCTTGTCGTACACAGTGACATTTCAACGACTAGACTAGAGTTGTTCTACATTCTACACAGAAGACTAGGATTTTACACCATGTTCAAGAGTCCTGTCAGTGTATTTTTGCAGCTTCGTGTTTTTCTTCAAATCAACCCCAGAGTATGCTGTTATCAAACAGAGCTGGTAAGATTGAATTGGGTTGTTAAAAATGTTTTTGTTTTTTTTTCACAAGTGAATAAACTTCATTTTTTGTTTGTTTTTTTAAAAGTCTAAAAAAAACCAAAAAAAACCTGGAGGTACAGTTGGGAAAAACAGGAGGTACAGTTGGTTCATTTCTGTTTTCTATCAACTGACTTGTATCCTTTTCTTTCTTTTGATGGTGAAATCAGTACACAACATCCACATTCAGAACCACTTCGGGCAGGTATGTACCCCCTAGATCCTGCTCTTCATTCCTTTCTAGCAGAAAAATGGACTTGGAAATCCTTTGACGTGTATCATTAAGAGGTTGTATGGCGTCCAGGCAAAGACAGTCCAACAGAGTTGACTACGGTTTACAAAGTTTCACTAGTCGGCTGGACCTGAAGAGTTTAGAGATTTACTGTAGATCTTTTCTCTTGTTCTTTTTTTTTATTAAAAAAGAAAATTAAAAACGCTCAAAATGATCTGTTAACAAGGCATACAAAATGTGGAAAAAGGGGAAATGAAAGATTGGACTGAGGTACCCTGAAGCCTGAGGTAGATCACAATACTGACATGCGCACTGTTCACATCCTGACCAAAGTTAACGCGGTGGTTCACTTTACTGTTCTCCTATTTTTTCAGGTTTTTATTTATATTATTATTCATAGTCTAGTTTTCAAGAAAATAAACACTTCCCTTCAAAACAATATGGCAGTGTCCCACTGAGGAAAAAAAGAAAAGGACTTTGTTTTCTTTTTGTTTCTTATCAATAGCTCTCATCACAAAATAGGAAAAAAATAGATTCATAAATATTACTCTCTCTTTTTATATATATATACACACACACATGCACACACGCACACACACACACACACACGGAAGGAAGCTTTGCGTATTGGCAATAACCTTGCGTCTGGAAGATGAAGCTGATGGGTGATGTCTGAAAGGTGACAAATTAAGGCAACAAGCTTCCACGGTCTCCAAAGTAAAGCACAAAGGGGACACCGGGGACCTGCGTGTCCAGCGTGCTCGCAGGCCGGCCGGCCAGCTCGCCAAAATGTTAAACAGAAAAAAGGAAAAGTTGAAAGAAAAAGAGCGAGAGTGAGAATGACAATCTGTGTGTCTGTGCCTCTGGCCCGGCCTGCTGGACACGGCAGGGGTGATATTTCTAAAAAGGCTGCATATCGTACATTCACAGCTGTCATGCCATTTTAGAAAGCTCCCTGACAAGAGAGGGTTAAAGCCAAACGCGGCTGCGGTCACGTTTGCGGTTGTGTGTGTACCACAGGTCATACAGTGCCTCCCCCATAACCCCAAAAACCACCCCCACCCTCTAACCCCCAAAAAAACATTGCCTCATTGCCACTCCACACACCATGAGTCTGCACCCACCCACACACCCACCCCACCTTTCCCCTTTCTGGGCCCTCAGCTCACAGGTTGTGTGGGGCCTCGTGATGTCCTCATAAGGTAGAGCGTGTGTGGTGGTGCACATTCAAAATGATTGGTGCACCTTTGTTTTTTTTTTAAGACGTCAATTTTTTTGCTCTGGTCGTGAAGGAAAATGCCTCTAGAGACATCCCTTTTGATTTTTTTTAATATGTCAGGATAACAAGCATGACTGTAGATATAGTCTACGCTACAGCATGGGTGAGTGATACCAGTTTACTGGTAACATAAAATAAAATAAATCCCTCTGTGGCATTTAACCTCTGTTGAGCGAAAGTGGCAGTCAGTTCAATGTTATCAAAAGGCTACAGAAAAAAAAAGTGTTTCTCGACAACAAATATTTTTATCCTATTAAAAAAACGAAATGCCAGATGAGAGAGAGTGATGAGAAAGTGAAGCAGAAATTAGCAGAAAAGAAAGAAGAAGAAAAAAGGAAAAGTGTAGCATCAGCTATGAATGGTGAGAGACATTTCAAAGGGAAGTTATCTTTTGCGTTGGCACACACACAGGCTCATTACAAAGACTCAGAACCATTCACCATATTTACTTATAGGGGTTTTCTTTTTGATTTCAGTGGCCTATAATGTGAACAAACAAAGGAAACCGCTTTATGTGGCTGCCACAGCCCAATCAATCTCTGGAACAAGCGAAATATTAAAAACTACACCGAGCCGCACTGTCATTTTGATAGGAAAAAAAACAGTGCGTGCTCTCAGTGTGTATCAATATACTTTTCTACTCTGTATTAATACTGCTAAGGATAATCTCGCAATCTGAATATCATCTCAAACTCTGGTGAGAGAAGGTGTCCATTGTCACTCGCTCTCGTTTCTAACTCAAAATATCAATCACGATGCCTCGTATACTCTCGTGTTAATACAGTTGCTTTATCCATTTGTTAGGCCTATGTTAGTCCAACTTAAGAGATAACATTATGCAGGGCGACATACTATTTCCTGTTTGCCTTTTTAACTGCGAAGACAACAGTTTCCACCTTTCTTAAAGATTTTTTTTTGGTCTTTTTATTATATTATATCAGTACGGTTTCTCCCACTCTATCTGCTCTCACAGGGCTGGCAGTGCACACAATGCCCTCAGCCTTTGGCTCTCACTTGTTTCCCCCATAGTGAAGTTCTTTGGTTTAGATCGGTGCTGCTGGTCTGCCCTGCATGTCCCCCTTGGCCTTGGCCTTTGTCTGGGTAGGTCTCTGTCCGTTTGGGAGGGCTACATTCATTGGCTGGCGCCCGCTGAAGCCACCCCACTGGTCACTTGGAGTGGTGTGGTGACACGGCGGCGCCATGCTGGTGTTTCTGTTCCTGCTGTTTGACCTGCTGAATGATCTCCCGGATCTTCCTTTGTGCAGTCTGTTGGAGAGACACCACATGCAGCACAAGGTGTTAATTGATACATGAAAAGGTGTCCATATGAAAGTAAGTAGAATCACAATACACAAGTTTGTCTCTCCTCCCTCTTCTTACTAATGTGTTGCTTTGTTAAATGTAGCATGTTGATTGGTTAGGGAAACATTACGAGTATAGTCAGAGTTTATTTAGGTTGAACGGTGCTCACATCCGGTGCACAATTTCCTTCACTGCCGTAAACGACTGTATGATCTGTACTCACCTGCTGAAGTTAAGTAAAGTTCAAAAAGATCCCTTGTTGTGTGAAGTGTTTTCTATCCACGTACATCCAGACGTGAGCTAGGCTCTTAGCTTCTAACTTACTTCAAAAAGGTCCAAACAGGACAATATAAAGGGAAGGACCACCCAAACAAAACAAAAAAAGAAAAATCAAAAATTATTTAAGTAAACCTAAAATATGTCAAATGTATTTGAAAGATAGAAACTTGCATTTCTATGAATTGCAAAGCATCCAGAGGAGCAGGTTGGACTGTGTGGGTGGATGAACGTATGTATGCTTGTTTGTTTGTTTTTCTTTCTTTTTTCATTTATCTTCCTGTAATTAACTGTCTGTAAATAGTAGAGTTCACTCTTGGCTTTGGAAATAGAATCATGACAAAATAATCCTAACTCAAGGTCCACTTACTAACATTTGGGAGATTTCAACTCTATCACATTGTCTTCATCATCGAATGGAGCAAACCATGATATAGGCAAAAACTCCAGAAAAATATAGTGCAGTAAGTGAGCCTTGAGTTTAGTAAAAAAACTGAATCATAATACAAAAGTTTGTGTATGAGCATAGCGTCAAGATAAAACAACAAAGACTGATTAAAGAAGCAATGTTTGGAACTGCCTGGCAATCAGAAATGAATATGTTCTCATAAAAGTAAACATTAACATCGTTTTACTACAAAAACAGAACGAAAACAATTAATTTTGTCTCGTTGTTTCCTTTCAGTTAATGTACACCCATAGTTGACTCCCACAGGTGTTTTAACTTATGTTGCCTGATTAGACTGGGATGATTGACATCTTCCTCACTCCCGTTAGTGTCGTTGTGTCTGTTGGGGCGGGGCGGTTTTACACCTTAGTCAGTCTTATTAGTGACTGGAGTCCTGTGACATTTTCCACAACATAGATCAACTCACCTTAAACCTGAGCAGAGGTCCAAAATAACAACACCTGTGGCTTTTTGCCGGCCATTTAACTACATTATATTGTAAGTTTTACTTTACTTATATTGGTTGTTGTTGCACATAAACAGTTAGATAGTTATATAAAGTTAGGTCATTGGTGATAGTTTTCACATATTAAACCCCATACAGACAGTTGACTAGCCCTCTGAACTGTGTGGCTGCATACGGACAGTGCATACATTAGCTGACTGTTCATTTTCCTGTTACAGTGCGTTACAGTGAGAACAGAAATTAAAACTTGGTGATCCAGAGTGTGCAGAGCCATGACACAATGACAGGTGAGGAAGAAGATTTTCAAATGAATCAAATGAGGATTGTTGTTGTGAAATGTTCAAGTTAACCTCAGATTACTGAGCAGCATCAATATTGACATATGTTTTATTAGCACATGCGTGACTTCTCATCTACAGTTACAATTATTTGCAACTCTCTCTGCATACGCTGCCTACATCATACCCCGCTGCGTTAATAATAATAACAACAGCATCTCTTTGCAGGCCCTTAAACCTTGTTTTTTGCGTACCTGGCTGGCAAAGAAATGCCCACTGATTTTCACAAAGACCTCGTCGTTCTCGTCTGGAGTTTGGTCCCGCGGTACGATGACCTCAGCACTCGTAAGGTTCTGCAGCTCGTTTACCTGGAAAAAAAGACTCCAGAGATCATCATCTGGCTTTGAATTTCACCTCCAGCCGCTCTCACAAAACTCACTGACAGACAAAGGATCAAATTATGGTAAACTGAAACACTCACACTGATGAAACCAAGCAAACCAGGAGCTATTTGATGTACAGCAATCATGGGTGTGAAGCGTGTTTACTGATCTTTTAACTGTGTAAAAATGTTCTTATGTAGATTTACATAATAGCTGGGTAGCTTTTTAGTAAGGAGATTGTTGTTAAAGCTGTTTTTTTAGCAAGCAAATACCAAAGTCTAGGTGTGAAGTCGAAATGAAAAAATGAAAAGTCAAACAGCATTGTCTTCTTTGCTGTGACTTTTACATTTGGCCAAATTGTCTAATAAATATGGAGAAGAAAACAGTAAAAATGCTAAATTATTCAAAAAGGACAGTATAATTCACACAGTTAATGTAACATTAGTAAATCAGCATCCGCTCACCGTCTTGCCGCCTTTACCGATGACCCTGCCGGCTGCAGTTGAGGGAACCTTGATGTGTGTCTCCAGTTTGACCTCCTCCTTCGCTGTGAAGAAGTTCTCCTCTTTCAGCTTCCCAAATATCCGACCTTGGGCCTGGAATAAAGAGGAGGGAATGAGGCAAGGAGAGACTGGGGAAAATGGGGACACACAGTGATGCACTGCTGTTTACTATAACACATGACATATTAAATAATCATGATCTTTTAAAATACATTTGTGAATTTTAAATTGCAGTTTTATCCCCACAATGGTTGCATATGCACAATTTTACTGCATATTAATACACATTTTCATAGAGTTTTTACCTTAAACTGAGCCTCTGGGGTTCCAGTAATGATAACCATCCTCTCTGTAACATCTGGGTTCTCAGCTGGGGCAATCTGACACACACACACACACACACACACACACACACACACACACACACAGACAGACAGACAGACAGACAGACAGACAGACAGACAGGTAGGTTATGGAGACAAATAAGGTGAAAACATGCCAAAAAAACTGTGGTCATTCAATGCATGTGACCCCTGAATCATCTGAGAAGTCTGCAAATTCTTACAAATGAATGATTCGCCTTAGATCACGTTGGAGAATTCACTGACCAGCTGTCCCACCTCTCCAGACGCAGGGCTTGAGGGGCTTTCTGAAATGCTCAGCTCACTAGTCATCTCCTTTTTTGTTTGTTTTTGACCATAAATAACTAACATCCTCAGCGGTGGTCAATGAAGTGGGGCTGACTCAGACAGCACTTACTGCCAACCTGATGCCAACTCGCTCAATGTGAAGCTTTAAAAAAAAATAGTGATGCAGGTTTAGCTCTGTTGTGGATTCAACTGATCAGAGACGGTTTGACCACCTTTCTGCCCCTCCTGATTGAAGCGCTCTGTTGACACGCTCTATAAACTCACCTTGATGGAAGCTCCAGCGAAGTGGGCGAGTTGTTTGATGTGCTGGCCCTTCTTGCCGATCAGGGCCCCGACTGCCTGAGTTGGAATAAAGAGGTAGACAACCTCCTGCTCTTGAGCCTGTTGCTGAGGGAAGAAAAGACCACACAGAAAATATATTTCACTACACATTTAATAAACTCTACTACTGCTGGTGGCAGAGAAAAAAAAACATGCAAAACTTTTTTTAAATAGAAATTTTGATTGAACTCGTCACATACTTGAAGAGCAGCCGAAAACGATGACACCACATGCAAGGAAAGCTAAATTGAGCTCTCTTTGAGGGTTTTCTCTTTGGGTAAACATCCCGCGCTGGCTGGGTCTGAACGGAATATTTCCTATTAAGGCCGATGGTTGCCCTATGTTTTTGTTTTTCTTAGCATGGTAACACTCGTGTACTCGAGGTTTATAAAGTGAATCTTTACGAGCCACAGGACAACGCTGGGCTGAAAAGTCCCCTTCCAGAAATATTTGTGGTGTTCTGGTGACTGGGTGATGGTACGCAGGAATGCCAGACTCACTGTTTCAGCATAGACGCTGACTGAGAGGTTGTCATGGTCTGTTATTTATGTCTCCCTCTCGATTAGTCTTATATCTTCTTCTTTTTCTCTAGTACCTCCCATTCAAACCATAAGTCACTTGCAAAGAGAGACAAACGGTAACATCCAAAGCTTGAGTCCTAAGCTTCTTGTGTGCTTGAAATGCCCTCAACTATTTAAATAATTATCTAGAACCACACAAAAAACAAGAAATTAGTGGTTAAGTCTGATCACCAAGGCAACATTGGCTATAGTGCAGATTTTTAGGGAACATACTGAGTGCTGGTGGGGGATGGCACTTGCTGGAGGAACCCCGTACAGGCCACTGAGATGTGAAGAGTGACTCTGAAAGTGAAGTGACAAGCAGGCCGATCAGATGGCACACAAACACACACATTCACAGACACATGCACGTACACAACTCAAGCTCTTATTAGGGGGAATTTCAGGGCATAAACTTGCAGTGAATCACACACTAACTTTCTTGACTATGAAGCACGCAAATACATTCTCACACACTGTCTCACACCACTTTGGCTCAACCTCTTCAGGCAATGAGTGGAGACTTTGTTTTACAGACAAACTGACTCATCTCTGGAGAAGACAGGGGAATTCTGGTTGTTTCAAACTGTGTACAACACCATGCAGGAAGACCTGAGTCAACACGGTATTGTTTTTTCAAAAAGCACTTCAGGGGGAACCTGGTTTACCATGTGTTGGAAACAAATTGCTTTATCAAGTCAAAACTAATCCCTGCTGGAGATGTGCATCACTGCGCTGGGCGGGTAAAACCAACAGTGATACAGTCCTTCCAAAAGAAGCTTTTTCTAAAGTCTTTTTTCCCACCTTTTATGGTTGTGTGTGTGCAGAGGTAGTGTGTTTAAGAAAAAAGAGCGTACTCACTAAGAATGGGTTGTATCCTGCTGGTGCCACAGGGGGCACTGCCCCGCGTGGTCCAGCAGCAGGGGGCAGCACCGGCAGACCAGAGGAGAAGATGCCCAGAGCGTTCAGGTTCAAGCCTGGGATCAGGTTAGCTTGTTGCTGTGCAAAAGAAGGGAAGCAGGTTTTAGTCACAAGTTCAAAATTAGAATTAGAATTTAATTGACGCTCATCATTTTTGTTCTTAAACAATTTTCAGAATATGCTGATTTGTTTTTAAAGGAGCAAATCAGTTTAAACTGATTTAAACTTGGATTTTACGTCCTTCAGGCATCCAAAAGTTATGTCTCCTGCTGCAAGAGGACGCTGACTACTACAATTTACAGTAAATCTACTGCTAATCAGAGTGAGAAGAAGAAGAATGAAAATGACTCCTAGTAAGTACAAGTAAGTAATAGTTTTACTTGTTTTTTTTATCATAAATAAACAGCAATAATTTCCAAAGTTGTTGTAATAAAATCAGGACAAAGATCAATCTGACTGTGAATGTGGTCACAGAAATAAACCTAAATGAAATATGTCCTGCAAAATGTAAAGTGATCAAGGAATCTTTTAAATCATTAACCAAGCAAAAATACTTAACTTTTCTGGTTCCAGTTTCTCAGATATATGGTTATTCTGGTTTCTCAGATATAATATATACAAATATAAGTATTTGCGTTTTTTCTGTCTTTTCTATTATACTTAATTGAATAATCTTGTTTTGATTGTTTGAACAAAAGCAATTTGAAAATATCAACTTGCGCTCTGGGAATAGTAACAGGCATTTTTTACAACTTCATGTCAAATTATGGATTTATTTATTAAGAAAATAATCAATAGCTACAATAATAGCTGTTGCAGCCCTTGTTGTGTGAACTGTTCCTTTACTGCCACTAACTCCATTACATAAAAGTGTTACTTTTAGCTAAATAAACCATTTATAAACCACTGGACTATCTGAAAAATGCATTGTCACAATGCTGAAAACAGGGCTGTTTTTCTTAGCTCATGAAAACTTGAGGTTTTTGGAGGTCAGTTTGCTGTTGTAACGGCACGACAAAAATATTTCTCCCTCAAAGTCAAGTCAGCTATTCTGGTTTCATGGCCGTGAAGAGACACGCGGTCTCCTTTCACTTCCTTGTTCCCAGAGGGCTTTTTGTGTAATATCCACAGTGTCACGCTAGATGGCCCTCACCGCTTGCTGTAGAGGCAGCGCTCAACCCGACAGGTGCCAGAACTGCTCTGCTCTCACCAGCCAGTACAGTTTAACCGCATGCTGCGTGATACTTCTCCGTGACTATACCTGAGCCAATATTTGGACAATCAAAAATGAGAAGGAAAAAATTGGCTGCTTGTGTGAAAGTAGTAAAAAAAAAAAAGCAAACGGGAGGCTGATTGGGAATCTCCCCACGAGTGATCATCAAGAAGAGCATCATCACAGTGAATGCAGTCACTTTATCAGCTTTCATCTGCATTACTGGAATGCAATAGGGAGCATGCAGTGTGTGATGTATCACCACTATCTCTCTTCCTCTGAGGCTGACCTCTCTGCGCTGCAGAACTTGTGATGTCATCGGGGCAGTGTGAAAGAGGAGCTGGGTGAGAGAGCGCAGCCTACAGATATCAGATGGATGCTGGGAAACGCAGTGTGTTACAGCAGGAACACAGACACACAGTGGGGAAGTGAGCGTGAGTCAGAGGCTCTGTGGAACAGGCCCACGCGCACGCACGCGCACGCGCACGCACGCGCGCACACACACACACACACACACACACACACACACACACACACACACACACACACACACACACACACACGTACGCATACATGCTGTGCTCAACCAACCGACTCACTGATGAGCTATTCAGTGATGGTTTACTGTTATCCATTTACCAAGCAGACAACACACGTATTACTAATGCTGCAGGTAACGTGTACTGAATGGGGAGGCAATGTTATCCCGCCGTATATCATCACCCCTCTTCGTTGTTCACCTGTCAGTCTATGTGAGTCAACCTGAGATCACACACACAAGTTCAAGAGACCTGCAGATGGTAACCTTTAAGCTTACGTTTATAGCAGCAATATCATTCTCGTAGGCTTCCCGCAGTTTCTTCATGATCTCCGCCTCGGCTTTACAACACGCCTCCAAGCTGCCCTTCACCGTGATGGTCCTCTCAGGGTTGTAAATGGTTAAATCTTGTAACCTGCAAGGGAGATCACACACACACACACACACACACACACACACACACACACACACACACACACACACGCACACACACACGCACGCAACACACACAAAAATGAGTATATGCATATGCTACTACAAATACAGAGAAGAGGCACACTCATATTCTGCTCACATATTTTCTCAGAAAGTGGAGGTGACTGACCTAATTTTAATTGCATTTCCTGTCTTTGTGTTTATCCAACTTAAGTGTTATTAAAGGCTGCATTGTCAACATAAATAACATTAAAATGTATTGCTTAGCTAACAGGCCATTTAGTACCGCATTTCCATAAAGTTGGAGGAGACAGATTAAAAAAGCAGAATGGTTAAAAATGAAGCAGCAGAGGACGAGATAGTCTTACTTTGTTCCTTAGTTTGGGTCAAGCTCCAAAAACACTTCCCATAATGCAACTCAATAGGGTTTCACATCATATGGGATGGTTGGCAGAGATGGGAAAGATTCCCATGTTGACTTGCGTGCATTTGCGCCATGTTTGATTACAGAGCTGGTTGTGTACGAGTTAAAAATATATTATATCCATTAAATTTGGGTTTAATTACATTGAGCGACGGACTTTGGCTGACGTGAGACGTCTTTGTTTGGATTTTTGGATACTTACATGTAATTAAGTCAGATATATCAAAAAAACCTGACTTTCCCAATCATGATTAACGAGCTGGTTGACATGAAAACTGTTTAAACGTCAGACACTTATAATTACCAGCAATTACTGCTGGTGTGCCCCCTTTGAACACGTAGTTTGTATCTCTCAAGGTCAGGATGTGAATATCAGCACGTGCAAACAGCTGAAATTGATTCCTTTCTTATTATTATTTTAAGAGAAAAACTGCTGTACAAGAAGCATAAGTGTAAAACACTGCAGCAAGATATTGAGCTTGAGCTTATCATTTTGTGCAACAGCCAAATCACCACTCAAGTCTGTCTGAAATTAAAACCACAGTTACGCAAAAAGGTAAAAAACAAAAACAAAAAGTAGTTCTCTCACTGATTTTTCAGCTATAATGCTAACTTACTGCAGATTTGGTAACATGAATTTTTTTATCACCTTCACAAGACACTGATACAGCAGGTGTATAAGTGTTATTACACAAATCAAATAAGCCATCGCTCCATAAAGCAGCCTGGAAGTTGTAAAAACGATAACAACTTTGAGCCTTTGAAGAGGAATCAATCTATGCTCTCCTGAGCGTCGGTGGACGTGGGGGTCACGCTGAAAGAAGATTTCACAGAACCATCAATATTGAATGTACTGTTTGCCTCCTCTCAAAAGGACCATCTCCCATCTCTCTCTCCGTCTCTGCCTCAAGCCTCATTACGTCCTCAGAGCTCACAGAGACAGAGCAATTCATTAGCCCTCAATGAACGAAGGTTGGTGAGCACGGGCCGTTAAATGGGGTGTAACCACCACCTCTCTAATATCATGTTCTGGAGTGAAGGAGCTGTAATCACCTCTTCACATTTGTTCTCTAACAACTCAGTTAAGTGAAACCACAACCTGAGAGGCTAATGAGCACGGGTGTGGGAAGGTGTGGCAGCAGGACGTTGAAATCACTGCCTGTTATTTGTGCTTTGGTTTCAATTTGGTAATAGTCAAAACTGTCTTTTGGAAGTATAGTCGTACGAGCGCTCAAGTCAAAGGGTTTTCGAAAAAGAAGAAGAAGGTGGAAGAGGCGACTTACGAGGAGATGGTAATCTTGGTCCCTGTCTCCTCCTCAATCTTCTTCAGGTTGCGACCCTCCTTCCCAATCAGCCGGCCCACGAGGCTGTTGTGGGCGAGGATTTTCAGAGGGATGTCCTCCGTCCTACACACACACACACACACACACACACACACACACACACACACAGGTTAAGCGAGAAGATAGAAAATACGTTGTGTGAGAGTCACTGATGTAGCGTGAGGAATGTCATGGTGTGATGGGGATGAACAAGAATGTGGATAGCTGCCCAGATGGAAGTGCTGCTGTAAGCATGTGGCACAATGTTAAGACATAAGCCTTTTATTTTCTTTTAGTATGCAATGGCTCCTTTTAATTTTTTTTATTTTTTTTATTTTTTTTTACAGATCTTCATAGAATCTTTACAAGAAAAAGTTCAATTTCACACTAGTTTGGAGCAGAGTTTTTTGTCCTGGGGAACCCAAAAGTTTTTGCGTTGCCTGCTGCAAGAAGACTGTTCACTGAAGTTTACAATAAACAAGGTACTGTTGCAACAAACAGCTCAGAAAATGCTTCTGGTAATACGGGATGAAGATAAAGGGGAATGTTGAATGTTGTGCTTGAGTCCCTCTGAGCAAGTCAAAACAGTAAAACTGTAATGTTCTTCCTGGGAAGAACCATATAATTTTACAGTAATTAAAGGTCAAATAGTGACATCTGACATTTCCAGTTAATTGATTCGAATTAACTGCTAAACTAGCATAATCAGCTCAACTGAACATGCACATAAAATATGTCTACAGGCAGGCATGCAATTTAACATATATGAAGAATAAAGCTCTTAATACTAATGTTGCTTTGTCAAAGCCAATCATAAGTTGAAAAAATTTAATTAAATGTTACATCCAGTTTAACCAGAAGATGTTTAGTGTCACAGCTGAGAACTGGCAGTATTCCTCTTGCTACTGAGGGCTGATAGATTTAAAAATATAGATTGTGCAAGCTGTGTTATTTGGGTGAAGTGCAAAGTGAGTCCCATTTTCTTTTGTACTTCACAAATTATAATGATTTAAGAGAGTTAATTTCCCATGAAATGGCTCAAAACCCTGAAATGTTCTGGTGTACAGATGGGCACAAATTGAAATGGCTGTTCAATTTTGATGTTTATGTCTTTAACTTTGTCTGAAAAGCCTGGAAAAGGAGGCAAGATTAACTATTTAACTAATATTTATTCTGATTTCTCCAGTATTATATAGTGAATGGGTTTTTTCTGCCACTGAATTAGGTTTTTTTTGTAGACAATTAAGGCTTAAAGATCTGGTAGGGAGGGTTAAACGTAGTTGTATGCAATAAAAGCTTTATTTATTTATTCATTCAATCAATAATAATAATGATAAATAAATATTTAATAGGGACAAATGGAGCCCTTCTTTCTAAGAAATTTCTCTGGAAATCATTGACTGCTTTTGAACTCAAAACAAGTAAACAACTACTTTAAAATAACAGCATTAGAACAACAAATAACATAGTTCTTTCAGGACATTATTAGAATAAAAAAAAAAAGACTATTTTTTTATAATAAAAACAAAAAACAATGCAGTGTATGTGTGTATGTTTGTAGGTGGGTATTGGTACAGAAGGTCAGGGACAATTGTGGGGTATGTAAGTAAGTGTGAATTAAGGTTGGGGTGGGGTGGAGGGTAACCAGATGCTGGGGGTTTCTTTTGGGTGTGGTCACAGACTGGTGGTGGTGGTGTATGTGTGTGTGTGTGTGTGTGTGTGTGTTCGGGAGGGGCACTTTATAATCTGCAATTGTTGATCTTGAGCTGTAAAGTGAAATTAGTTTGGGGTAAAATGTGAGGCTAGGGGAGATGACAGTGTTATGGGTTTAAAGTTGGTTGGAGTGTCACTGGGCGTCATTAGAGAGATAACAGGGTGTGGGGTTCCCGTGGTGACAGGTTCATTTCTTCGGGTGTTGCACCCAGGCAGGGCAGCGTGGTGTTATTGAGTCGACATGCAGCAGAGGTGTGGACGTTATTGTGACTACTGTTTTGACAGATTAAGGTGGATCAGACCTGCCAACTGATTTCTTGTCCTTACATTACATAACATCCATTTGTCAAATGCTTTTGAATAAAGTGACTTTGCATTCAACCTCAACAGGAAGTCGAGCTAGATGACGTGAAAAATTGGAGGCACATCCTTCTGCTTTGAGCTATCTTGAGCGGTTCTTGGCTGCCATCCAGTGGTTTTTATAAATTAGAGGAAAATTTTGGTGGGATTTGGAGCGTCTGCCCACTTACTACTTGTTGTGTGGTTTATGTTTATCTCTGACTTGGGAAAAACTGGATGGAATCAAATGCAAAACCGTATATACAGCAGGATTTCTTCAGAGATTTCATGAAAATGGCTTACACGAAGATGCAGCTTGGCAGGGGGGATAAATGGATATAAATCCGTGAAAAGCTAACAAATCCAACAGAGGAAAACAGGAAGACAGGAAGTAAAGCAACACAAGACACAAGAGGAGGAAAACTACAAAATAAAACAGGAAATGAAGTCAAAGACACAGGAGGAGGACAATTACCAAAATAAAACAGGAAATAACTACAGAAAACTGACGCACAGTGCATGCTGGTGCAATTTGATTAGACTTTTACTCATTTTTTATCTATTTAAATGGAAGCAAATCTCTTTTTTTTAAATACTGCAATGGATTCAATCGAGCCCTTATATCTCCATCAACACTGACTGGGCAGCCGCACCGTCAAACAACACACTTAAAAATAAATACAGACAAATTCTGATATTATGTGTTAATGGCGGATGCTGATGCTCAGATCCAGCTGAAGCTCAAAGAGTTTAAAAGGTGCAGTGTCTCGTTAAAAGTGTCAAGCCCAATTAGACATGTTGGCCTGGTTTCTTAAATGCTAAGCTGCGATCACGTGTTAGCCTATGTGAGTGTGTCGTGTGCACTGTGTTTACTGTGTTAGTGGTCCAAGCGAGAGAATGCACAGTGAGATTAAAAGGTGTGCAGGCAGGTTAAAGGATAAGATTATAGGCCTGTGGACATTATGGCTAATCTCCCCAGTGGGAGTGTATACATGCTCTGGACAAGCACACCTGAGCGTATTTACATGCATGTTTGTGAATGTTTTGAGTATGTTGAAGCGCAGACTCACGTCTTGGTCTCATTGGCCTCCTTCTGCATGATGTCCAGGATCATGCGACAGGCGGAGGAGCAGCCCTCTGGAGTTGAGTGGATAGTGATGGGCTTTTCTGCTGCACCTGCATTTTCCTTCCGATGAATGTCCACCCTGAGAGAGGGAGGGACAGACAGAGAAATGAACACACAACACAGAGACGACAGTAGAAAGTAAAATCTATTTTTACTGCGTATTCATTCATAATAAAGTTTGAAACTGAAAAGAGAAGAAACTATTTAAGAATTGAATGTTGTTTTTCCCCAAATTAAAATATAAAGCAACAGTAAACATGTCATGAATAATTTGGGCCACTCATGTCCAAAATTTGACAATGTAAAGCTTCTATTGTGTGCTACCTTGCTTCATATCTCAGACAATTGGTCTCCAAATGCAAGCCTTGGTACAGTGCCAAAATACATAATTAATTCAAGCTTCAAAACAATTAGAGCAGAGCCGTCTGAGGAGTTAATAAAACCATGAACAAAACAAAAACTAATGTGTGAATCATCATCTTCGTCAGACTAACTTACTTGGACTGTGTCTGTTTGGTGACATTCTTGATGGTGAGGCCCTCCTTGCCGATGATGGCTCCCACAAACTGAGTAGGCACGAGCATGCGCAGGGGGAAGTCGTGTTGTCTCGCGCGTGAAGCCCCAAATTCTCCCGAGGGCCCAGGCTGAGAGGCGTCCTGGTCCCTGGACGACCGAGCCCCGCGCCGCGAGCGGGGAGCCTGGTCGGGCGGAGCAGCATCCATGTCCACAATATATGACACTTTGAAGGAGTAGTCGTCAAACTGGTGTCCTGTTAACTTCTCAATGGCTCTGTGGGGGGAAAGAGGAGGTATGAGGCATTAATAATAAATATTTGTCAATATAATAAATTGTAATTGTCAGTAAAAGGAAATAATATCTCAATATGCAGGACAACGGATGTCTCTGGTATACTTGCTTTATACCTTGTGTATCCTGCATTCCCTCTCCGCACTGGTTGTGTATGTTATAAGAAATCAACGATAAGCACGCTGCAAGCTGCATTTAAGCACATGAACATTCATGAGAGCACTTTATTAGTGAGGTAACATCAGCATCACACTCTGACTGAGCTGGCTAATTTTTAATGTTTAAAAGCCGCAGTGCGAACACACTGTTGTTTTCAGGTGATTCTTGAAAAGATTTCCATCTACACTGAAATGTCCTAACAACAGGAGGAAACTAAGAGATCATAGAGAATGTTAGAGGAGACACAAAGTTGTGAAAAACCCTGATAGTGGCTGGACAGGCTTATGCCCTTCATCACTCTTTGACGATTTGATGGAATCCCTCGTTAATTTAAGTTGATTTTATGAAGGTACATTTTTACATTTAGCCACCTTAATGTGGATTTATACTTTAATAGAATGTGTTGCCTCCTTTTCTGCCTCCTTGAGTGTCACCGTGTTTATACTGGATATTCCTGTTTTGACAATGACCCTGCTATGACCCTTGTGGATGTACTTTTTAATCCTCCAGTATGTGAACAACGCTGCTGGTGTTGTAGGAGCTTGTCTGTGAATGCACACAGGTAAAAAGCAAGTATATCACAAGTCTCGCTGTTGGCTGCATTATTGGTGCTGCTTACACTTTAGCTTCCTCCTTGGTTGCGTACGTAACATTCACCACTGCTGTTTCTGTATCAGTGTTCACTGTAAGGCAAGAGAGAGAGATAGAGAGAGAGAAACAAAACCATGAGATAAGGTAAAATAGATAAATAAATAAAAAGGTTCGTGTCACATTCACACATGCAGGTCTTTGTTGTTGCCGCAGGTGAGTCAGACACGCGTCCAGGTTCCCGTGGTGACCCAGAGAGCCACTTGTCTGTGTGAATCCATTACAGCCATCAACACACTGGCTTCCCTCCAGACCCCGCTGCTGCCTCCACAGACAGAAGCTGCTAAACACAATAGCCTCTCCGCCACTTGCACAATAACGGATTTAAGTTTGACATGACAGCCTAAAAAGAGCAAGTAATCCTTGATAAAGTGCAATGCAGTGCACAACAGAGACACACCTTGGGAAGACTTGTGGTCCTGTACTTATTATGGGTTATGGGTTGGAGGGCTGCTGGGCTTTAAAGGACTGAACTGTTGGGTGACTCTGATTCAGCATGTGCAATGGTGAAACAAACTCACAAATCTATTCATTAATTAGTTCATTGATTATTAATTTGTAACTTTTTTGTAGGAGAAGTAACTTATTGTATTTAGGCATTTTGTTGTTTTAACTCAGATCGTATAGTAAAAACAAGTTTGTGAAAACAACAATGCAAGACAGTGATAAATTATTACATTTTTGTAGGTATATGTTAAAAACCTAAGAGCTCTGTGCTGTATATGTTGACATGTTAATGCATTTAATTTTATACATTTTAAATGTTTAACTATTTCACCTATTTTTTACTTTAAGTAAAGTTTTACACCAGTAACATTACTTGTACTTGAGTGCATTCAAAGTAACTTTTAGTACAGTAATCAGTTCCCAGTTTCAGTTTCTCAGTTATGAGAATTTCTGCTTTTTCTTTTCTGCGGTGTAGTAAACAGAATATATGTGTGTGGACAAAACAAGAAATTTAATGACATTTTATAGACCAAATAATCAGTTAATTGAGAACATAATCTCCAGATTAATTGAAAATGAAAGTAATTAGTTTCAGCCCTAAAGTGAAAGACAAATACTAAAAGACAAAAAACAAACTATATAACCTGCTCATCTTATTTGTTTAAAGTCATTTTGTATGTACATAGTGTTACTGCTGTGGTGTATATAGTACACATATCCTTAACTTGTTTTATCTCATTCTACTATTTTGCTTCATTTGACAGAATAATCTTTTTCATCTCGTGGAGAGTATAACTTTCAGTGCCTGTGGAGAGCGCAACAGTGACAGTAATAGCAAGAGAGAAAGAGACACAGCACGTCTCATTGATGAAACTCCCTCTGGTCCACAAAGGCTTATGTCAGAAGAGACAACGGCATCTCTACTTTGTCAACGGCGGATCTCTGTTTGTGTAACCGCTAAATGTCAAAATGATGAGTCAACAAAGAAGCCATTGCTCTTTGATTGTGAGGACTGATGCCAAAGCCTGCTGAAAAAAACATTCAATGCAAAAAGATCTTTACAAAATTGCAAATAAACTCCCTTAGATTGTTTGGCAAGTTAACCACATGAACAAATCACCAAAATAATTGAGACAAGACAAGCGAGGTAATTGCCAATATCTTTTTTTTTTCCCAGAAGAATCTGAAAAAGTCTCTGTCAGTGAAAACAAAAACTTTCAAACCTGAGAAGGCGCAGCAGACAGCAGGTTTAGAAGGGTTAAAACCAGTGAGAGCGCCCAGCTGGCTTAGAGAGAGGGTGAGTGGGCAGAGCCTGGCATGGTGCCCGGCCCCAGCGCTCACAGCCAGCTCTGCCCCGCCTCGCCTGTCCTGCCCCGCCACCGGCAGCCTTCACCATGCCACACAAGAACATGGGACTCCTCCAAAACCTCACCCCCGTAACCAGAGCGCATGGACGGAGGCAGCGAAAAAAGTGACAGGAAGTTGGACACGGAAAGCGATTAAGACAGGGGGGGACGGATACACGAGCGGGATGTGCTCTCTGGAAGCTTTGATCATATGCTGTGCGGCTCTCATGTGATGATCGGAGAGCTGGACTGAGGGACAAAGAAGAAGAAGAAGAAGGAAGAAGAAGGAAGTGCTACTCTGGTCTCTCAGTACGGATGAAGTAGGCTGTTTTATAGCAGCTTCTGGGAAACTCTGAGTGGAGTAATTTCTCTGCTGGGTTCTCTTTTAGCACCTGTCATGACTACAGTGGGTGGTAGTTTGTCTTGGCTGGTTTTGACGCACAGAGAGACACCGTGCGTACGTGTCCGTGCGCGTGTGCGTTTGTTTCTTCCTACGTCTACTACTCCTGCATATGTGTGTGTGTGCACAGCGAAAAGTTCCTAGGGATAGCTCTAGTGCTGACTACACACAAACGTATAAACAGACACACACACACACACACACACTCCATCAGACAGTGCAAAAGCCTCACCACAGGCGCCTACAGTGTCCTCCCTCATTACCACGGTGCACCTCCCCAAAACAGATGCACACGCAAAAACACGGACAGGCATAAACACACATGGACACATTACTATTGGACGTCTGCCATGTCTGCTCACTTTAATCCATACGCTGAGGCCAAGGGGACCTGTGGCAATGCACAGTGCTTATTATAGAGGCTGCATGTAATTCGAATGCCGCTCTTCCTCGGTCAAACTTATAAGACACACATGCAGACAGACAAGATGATAAAGGCTGATTTATATGCAGAGATGGGTTATGTTTAGATAATGGGTGTGTGGGATGATGGTAACGAGGAAGTCAAGTCACACAGGGAGACTTGACTCACTGGGAGGTCTCTGTGCGTGTGTTGCTAAAGAGACACATGTGCATTGAACAGTTGGAGCCAGATGATGATGAGATGTGCAGCAAAGGGGGAGAGGAGAAGAGTTCTGTACCTTGTTCCACGTTTTCTACAGTACCATACTGAGCTAGAAGGCCGTCCAAAACCTGGGGGAGAAATGAGAGAGTGTGAGGTTATAGACCCAAACTACACGAAACACTGATGCAAAACACACACACACACACACACACACACACACACACACACACACACACACACACACACACACACACACAGAGGTCTGGTATGTTCAAGTAACAATGCGGCAAATGGACATAAACTGCTTTTATCTTTGTTATTCACTGATAAAGACCAAAAAAGGAAATTGGTAGCTGTTTAAAATTAAAAAAATTTAAAAAGTAGAGCATCAGTGTACTAGTTACTTTCAACCAGTGCAAAGATTATTATTAAATTATTATTAATTAATGGTTACTAGAGGACGACACTAAAAAATATGTAAATAGGTAGATGACCACTTGATCAATAAATTAGCAACCTTTGTTTTGGTTTGGACCTTTGTTTGCCAGGCCGTGTTGAAAAACTGAAGGAAAAATTATCTAGCAAAGTTTTGTATCTGTCAAACAAAGAGATATTCTCCATTAATGTAAATATTTTCAATAGTCTGAGAGGTTTTGTGAGTTTTCACGGGGCATGCAGACAACCTATTGATCAGGCAAATTGAGTTGGCAGGCATATGACACACACACACACAGAAAAACAACCTGGACCCCAGCAAGTTTACAGATGTTGACTCACAGACACAGTGTCATTCACACATTAACAAACACTCACATAGATAAAAGCACAAAAACAGACATAAACACATGCACACAAATACTTAAGTCGACAGAGAACAGCAGTATAAAAGCTGGTGACTCATTGTCGGGAGACTGGTTTATGTGCTACCTGGTGCTTCAACTGGGCATCACGCACACGCACACACACACACACACACACACACACACACACACACACATAGACACACACATAGACACACACGTACACAGACAAACAACTGACCTCCCACTGTAGATGAGGGGGAATGTTCCGGATCTGGATCTTCCGACTCCTGCAGAGATGAGAGACACAGACGGAGTGGATTTAACAGACCTGAACCACACACTCACATACATACAAACTCACACAAACACACACACACTTGAGAGTTACAGTCATCTGTTGCTGTTTACAGAAACTTCTACGCATTGGGCGCATCAACAGCTGAGAAGCGAAGGCGTTTTGGTGACGAGGGTAAAAATGCAGAGTCAGAGCTGTATTGTGTGTAATATTAGCGTCATCTTAACTTTCAATAACTCCCACAGCTCATTAGACAGTATCACAAACTAAAGACTGTCGTAAATGTAGGTGTGTAGGTGAGGACATTTATTAGACAGCAGCTACTGACTCTCAGTCACACCCTCCTACGAGTGCTATTCTTACCACTCACACTGTGAGATGTGGAAGCGACACAAAGGACATAGAAAGATATATTTTTTTATGAAAACAAGAATAGTGACACATATATTTGATAAATCCAAACCAGTGTGATTAGAAATGATCAGAAAAAAAACAGAGCAATTTGTATCATTCATAATTTAACAATAAACACGCCCTCCAGGCTTTTGTGGGCTTTTTTTGGGATTGTTGAGGCCTAAAATGCCTGCAGCCTTTTTAAAACACTGCAATATAGTTTACAGGGTTTTTGCAACTCCAAAAATAGTTGCATTTCTTTTGTGTAATTCATTAAAAATCAACTTGTTCCAGTGACAATAAAATCGCTAGTAGTTTTGTGATGTATGGTTCAGCGTCTTGTGTGAGAGATTGCTGTGATTGGTGATTGTTTAAAAGTTTAGAACAAAGGAAAGAAAGAAAAAAAATGTATTCATTTATTCCCTCACAATGTATTAGAGTCACATTAATTAAAATTTGTATCTGTATTTTTTTGTTGCTTGTCCACCCGGCAGCTGTTTGCACCTGTTTGATTTGTAATTAACAACAAAGATGATAAAACCCCGAGACTTTGAACAAGCTTTGTACAACCACATCTTTTAGGTTTTTTTTAATCAGAATATTTCAGTCAGAGAGGACAGAAAGATAGACGTAAAAATGTACAAATGTCCAGAGCTTCCACACAGCCATCTACTCTCCAGCAAGGGTGTCAGCTGAAACAGCAAAGCCACACAAACCACCCGGTGACCACAAGCTGTTAACAACTACATTAACGTGAGAGAGTCCAGCTCCGCAATGAGAGCAGCTGATCTCAAAAGCAGAGAGGAAGACGCATTTTTAGCACACAATTAGGAGGCATTACAGGAGTGGGAGTGGAGGACAGAAGCATGGACGTGAAGTGGAGGAGGAAAGGTAACAAGAAGAGATAATGAGAGGTGGATCTGAGTTCAGGAGGACTCTCCACAGGGGAAACACAGTTCCCCGTGTAGGTTTTTGCATCTTTCTCTCCCAAAGCGTTTGGGTGCAAAACACCGCAGGTCAGAATTTCCTGTCAGCAGAGAGGAGAGGACGAGAGGACTGAGCTGGCAGCTGGACATGAATGAATGACTCTTTCTGATTGTGCTGCTCGAAAAAAAAAGAAGAGGAGAAACACAGCGTCACACCAGTTTGGGACAGCCCTCTCCTCTCCTCTCCTCTCCTCTCTATATCCATGTGAACTCCAAGAAATAATGTTAAAATATTGAGGTTTTACAGTCACATGTAAATGACATTCATATTATTCTACAAACTTAAACGATTCTGTGAACGTATGTTCCTAAATAAAACAGGAAAAATGAGTTGAGTCTGGTTTATCCTCTGTCATGAACGTCCTCCTACAGAAACAAACAGCGGACAAGAACCAGAAAAAAACAAAAAACTGACAATCCCCAGCGTGTCCTACCACACAGTGGCCTTCGAGCTTTCTGTCACTGTCGGTGGTTTAAAGCGAGTGTCTCGATGAAAGATCTCTCTTGGCAACCGGTATCCAAACGAGGGTAAACCGATAAAAAAATCAGTCTGTACCACTAAAACACATCACCTTTTTCAACGTAGTAAACAACCTCCTGCCATCCGAAAGCAGCCAATAGCAGAAAAGTGTTTTAGGCCAACTCCAAAACCTCAAAACAGCCCCAAACGCTGGCATCCCTGAGCTGCCGAATATGGAAACTAAAAGCTCCTTTCATTCGGCGTCATCTGCTTAAATAGCCTGTGAATTCTGAGGGCCTGGTTCTCTATTGTGTTTGTGCTAATTGATTTGTCAACTGTAACCTCGATGCAATGTTAGACTGTATGGCGCTGACCTGCACCACAGTCACACCATCCTCTGCACTGTTTAAAGTAAATAAGCACAATAGTGGATCCGCTGTCAGGGTGAACAGAGTTTGGTGTAAACTGTTGGCTTTCTTTATCAATATTGTTCCACTGTCTTTACGTCGCCTCAACACAAGGCTCCCTTTCAAGCAAGACTCCTGTTTATTCATTTTCTTGTCTTGTAGCTTGCACATGTTTTAAAGGCCACTTGCTTGTCTATCATTCTGAAATATGCAGGGGAAGCTCCCCGAATGGACATCTCTCGGAAAAAGTGACAGCGCCTCCCGACAGTTCTTCAAGGTCTCATTTTCAGCATGCCTGTGGCCACTAGCTAACCATAAGATCACTGCTTTCTGTCTGTCTCCAGGGTAGGGAGAGGCCCACGATACATATCACCCTGCAACATATACTATTGTCTGTTTACAGCATTTATGTCTTGCTACAAACATCCGCTGTATGACCCTTTAGGTCATAAGTGTGCTTTAAAATCAGGGAATGAGCCAGTGGTGTCGTATATATCGTCTAATATCTGTTTGTTTGCATTCAAGGTGAACCCAGCGCCCTTCCAGAGCTCCTCCTTTCCCAAAGTCCAAACTGAACTGAAGTAGAAGAAACAGACTGAAGTCAATGGTTACTTAATGTTTGTTGAATGTAACCATGCTGTCTGCTGTTGGTTTGGAGCGGCCTGCCAGGAGAAAAAAAGAAAGCCTCTCAATTTCGGACTTTAAATATCTGAGGGTGGCCATGTTCATTTGAAAAGCTAATATTTACTGCACCCACCTGCACGAGGTAAGAAACCGTATCTGTGCACATGCGTGCAAACTAATACACACATGCATGCGGAGCAGTCAGAGGAATTTTAACCTCTGAGAGGGCGGGCGGACAGCGGGGTGAGAAAGAGGGTATTCACCCTTCGCCAGGAGTTTGCAGTGTTCCTAAAGATGAACATCTGATCATCAAAGTCAAATGCTACGTTGTGTTAAAAAACTGTTTTTTCTAACCTTCTGAGATCACTTGGTTGTAACCAAGTTTAAGGAACACAAGTACAAGAATTAGTTATTAATTCTATTAGTTGATCAACAGAATATTAATCAGTAACTATTGTGATAACTAAGTAATTGCTGATGTCATTTTGCAGGCAAAATGGGCATGTGATAGTGTCAGTTTCTCAAATGTGAGAATTTGTTGCTTTTCTTGGTTTTTAAATTATAAAGCAAACTGGAATTGAAAGTTCAAATTGGTGGTCAAACAAAACAAGTCACATTTGCTGACGTTACGTAACTTCTCACTATTTTCTAATGTTTTACAGATAAAACAATTCATCAATTAATTAAGAAAATTAACAGCAGATTGATCGTTATTTGCAGCCTTAATAAGGACCAATTCCCTCCCCATGTGCACTTCTGGAGCAACATTTTATTTTTGTTTCTTTGAATATTTTCTTATGACGTAAAACAGAGAAAAAAAGACTTTTGAATAATTTCCACATCAGCTCCAACTGGACTCCACAAAACATGAGTCACAGGGCTGCATGTGGACAGAGCTGACTGAATAAAGAGCATGTGTCTGTCAGTACAGAGGCGGAGAAGTCTTTGAAATGAAACTCTCTATGGTGGAGGCAAAAGAAAAGTGGTGGGACAAGATGTCAACAACTGGAGCAGCCTGGGTAAAAATTCCACCACAAATGATAGACATAAAATTAACACAAAACATCAACACAGTCTGAAATATAGGATGCATTTGAGAAATACTGTGAGGTTTTGTGATTTATTACTGATTAAATCTAGAGATATGAATACAAACTACCACATATTATATATATATTATAATAGAAATGTCCAGCAGCATAAGATGTATTGTATTTTTTACTAAAATAAAAGTATGCAACTAAAAGTCCTCTATTCAAAACTTATGAAGTAAAAGTGCAGAATTATTGGGAACAAAATGTACTTTAAGTATCAAAGTAAAAGTATGCAAAATGGCCCCATTCAGAGTCTTAATATTATATAACTGAAATATTATTATTGGTGCATACATACACATGTAAACAGCCTTTTAATCTAAAACAATTACATAGTTTATTATAGCTGCAATCTGATCTAGCTCGTCTGTTGGATCGGATTTCTAGCCATCGTTCCCCATGCCTTGATGACCCTGTCCACTTTTGATAGATACTGACCACTGCAGACCGGGAACACCCCACAAGAGCTGCAGTCGTCTAGCCATCACAATTTGACCCCTTGTCAAAATCCTCACGCTGCCTATTTTTCCTGCTTCTAACACATCAACTTTGAGGACAAAATGTTCTCTGCTGCCCGATATAACCCACCCATTGACAGGTGCAATGATAACATATACATAAAACATGCATGTATGTATATATATATACTTAGTTACTTTCCACCACAACTTAAGCCGTGTGATGACACCTGAGCCAGTTCCATTTATGAAGAAGACCATGGCCTAAAAGGTCCGGAAGGCATTGATAATTCTGATTTTGTTACATATATGGTTCCCAAATGTCAAGAATTACTTTCCATGCTCAAACATGAGTGTTTTTAAAGGTTTTCTATTTCATATAATGTAAGAGATTTGCTGTTAAATGAAATAGAGCAATACAAGGTGTGTGTGCAGATTAATAACATATAAGTTACGTATGCAGATAAAATACAGTATAAAGTGTAGGAGAGAAGAAACTGAAATTAATTTTTCTATCTATGTTCCTAGACAACACACATGTGACACTGACAAATCTCTCACATGTTCAGTCAGTATGAGCAAGACATAATGGTTATTTAGTTTGTCATGAAGCTGATGTACTTTGTCATTTAAAAGCCCTCTGAAAAATCAGAGTCACCCATGTCATTAAGAACAGTAACACAATAAAGTCACAGTTTCTCTTTAGAGTTCCTTGAATGGGCGAAAAAAAAAACCCTTTTTTTCTTTTTTTAAAAAGAAACTCACAGAAGTGAATGATTAAACATTTCCTTCTCAGTTCAAGGATTCTGTCTAATGAGGCCTTTTAAAAGCCTTGTTTACCTTTCTCTCCCTGCTCTGTGCGGATGCCCGTGCTGTCAGAGACGGCTCACAAGGAACGCTGCTCTGTGCCCAGCGGGAGGCTCTCTCCGGACAAATAAAAAGACATCCCAAATAGCCTTTCAGTCCACCGGGCCTGTCTGGAGCAAACTGCCTCACACAACTCCCACAAACACAGTCACCTCTACTATAAAACCTCACACTTAATTTTTTTCTACATGAAAAATTCACCTGACTGATAAAGTTTTTTTTTCCTCTCCTGTCATTTCCCTCCCTGCTGTGTCCATTTAGCTGTCAGCGCCTTCACCCACTGATTCTTAGCATAAACTGTATGTACTGCCTTGCCATTGTTTCACACCAGCACACGCACATATTTGCTGCTTAATGCTGAAGATTATTGGTTCCATTTTATAAAATAGTGAGAAATATTACTGGATCAGTCTTATGCCAAAAAAAACAGGAATCTTTATTTCTCTGCCTGACAAAACTCTTTGTTCCCGCCGAAAACCTGACGACACAATAGACGCAGGAAGTTCAGAAACAGTCCAATTAAAGACTTCATATTGCGCTGAAGGTAATTGATGACTTTCAAAATGAAAGATGATCTGGCCTTCGTCACAGCCATACCATGCAGATAAAATAGGAAATGAAAACCTCTGTGGTCATAAATCACACTGGAGGCGTGTGTGATTATGCACCTATTACATGATCATATTACAAATCCAGTGATATATACTGTCTTAGCCACACTAATGTGTCTGTGTCTTTTATGTGTAGTACCCAGACATTTCAGTGCTGAGTGCAGCATAATGTGATCATCAGATAATCGGCTACATTTACAGCTACATGTGCATGTATGTGAGCTCCTGTTTCTCTCACATCATCAGTATTGTAAAGACTGTAAAGCTCTAAGCTGACAAATACGTCAGCACTGCTCTTATTACTTTACATTTATTACCGCTGATAAGCGGCCTAATTTATGCCCAGTCTAGAAGTGAAACAGCACCGTATTATATGGGTCAGTTTGGGTGGGTTGGTTGAATAGTCTGGTGGTCCTTACACACCAACCACAGATTCATCTAATCTGAATTAACCCAATTTCTAGCTTTGACCCTTAAGCTCTTAAGCGCCTAAAGGTCCTGAAATCTCAGAGAGGAAGCAACAAGTCAACAATATCCAAGAGACCCTACTGTGTGGAAGATGTCCCTCTGCTCCTCTTTTCAAACTGTGGCGGTGCTCCCACTGTGTCCCACTCTCTGTTGCTGGATTAAGACGGTGCTCAGGCCATTTCTGTGTAGTGCTCCTAAGCACTACTCTAAGGCCCATCCAATTGTTGTGGAGCAGAGATAACAGGATTTGTATGAGAGAAGTGTCTATGCATTGTTATTGTCCTTCAGCCACAAAGATTTGTTACCATTTGTCCTCCAGAAGGACAAACAAACCCTGAAGCAGTTCTTCAGCTCACATTTTACCATAAACTGTATGTAAAGGCAAGTTACATATTTCCAATAATTTCCTATAACGTTCCCAGAAAGACCTGCATCTTTATCATGGAGGAGAAATAAAGGCAGTGTTCAATATCTGATTAGTTGACTTTTGAATGAATTAAATGAATTGCAAGCATAACATATATAATTTCTTACTCAGTGCAGTCAAAGCCGGTCTGTGAAATGTGTCCAGGCTAGCAAACACTTCAACACAAAGCAACATTTCCAATAATAAATGGATAATGAATGGACATTTACTTGGGTTTCATTCGAGATCTTCTTTCAAGGACATCCCTATTCTCCCTCTAATTAATACTGTTGAGGGCAGATGCTTCAGATGGGCAATGAGAGTGAGAGCGAAACAAAGGAACAAGGTTATGTGCCGTAAATCCAAAAGGATGAACTGAAAGACACTCTGTAGAGAACGGCATGATAATTCTTCACTACAAGCGACACCTTTCACGTGCATGTAGTCATTTGATCCACTGCTGAATGTTAAAAATACTGATTATAGCAGCTTTAACTAAATTAATCATAATCTTCCTAATCACTGTAACAATGGGTGTCACAACCTAGAAACAGTGATCGTCTGTTCCAGAGGGCAAAGCAAAAGCTTCAGAGACAGTTTGTGGTTAAATAGCTCAGCTCTTGCCTGATCAGTTGTAGAGATAAAAGAGAGAAAAAAAAGCAGACAGTCCTTGGTTCATCTAAAAGAATATACTGTATTTAAATGGCCAAAGTAATAATAATTGTTAATGGTGACAGTTTGCGTCACATTCAGTTTCATTAAATCCTTTTTATTCCTCCAGGCATTAATTTGCATTCATCAGAAAAAGTAAGAAAACAAGCATTGTATCTGCCCCCCCTCCATTGTTCCCTAACCACATATTTTTCACACTGATACTGCGGAGTGAACAAAGCTGCTGCTCCACGGTGCTGCTAACCATCTCATCTCAGTGTGCAGCGCTCAGGTGCCTGCTTCTGCTTTCCCTCCCAGCCCTCGCTGGGTGAGAGCTCATCAGAATTCAGCAGGCTTACCTGCCTGCCTGTTTTTCCTCACGCATTAGTTTTCGCTGTGGCACCAAGGCAGGGGAGGCACAGGCCAAGAGGCAGGCAGGTAGACACACGCAGCTCTAAGGGAAGCCACAGCGTTTCCTGTTGACGTCTGCCTGCTCCTCGCTGTCGACACTCGCGCAGCTGCTTAATAGAAAGATGTAAATAAGGAAAGACTGCATGTTGTCTCCTCATCCATTACATGTGGCACAAAGTTCACTGGCAAAGTCTATTGGCACACAGGTAAATTTCAAGTAGATTAATATCTTCTATAGGGGAATGATTCAGTGTCACATGATGAGGATAATTACAAATGACTCAATAGATTTTCAGTGACTCAGGTGAAGCAAGTCATTCATGTTTGAGAACCATGCAGCGGGAGAGACGGCCTACAGCAGCATAATGTTAACTCAGACTATCACCTGCGTGTTTCATTTTCACTACCCGCTCAAAGCATGCATGTGTGCAGATTGCGTAATAAAAAATGAGGAAACACAATTGCGTGTAACTATTTTCAATAAGATAAGGCACATGCAGACGTTGGCTCGGAGTGTCCAAATCTATTTGCATACTGTCGCAGATATAAAATGATTTTCAGTTCTCAGGTGTAATCACCACAAATTAATTTTCAGTCAGTGCTAAAATGCCACCGGGTGCCCAGCTGACACAAAACAAATTTTCTCTCGTCATGCACACTAAGCCAAAGAAATTAGTATTTTGAAATGTTCTGCTGTTATCGCTGTGGCACAATGTATTTCTATTTAAATAAAAAACAGTTTGCTCCAACACAGCATCTGAGACCCTCATACGGCTCTGAACACGCATTCACATATTTAAAATCAAATCTGGACATTTATGTTTGGTGTAAAACACATTCTTACAGAGGCAGGAAGGGAGCTCTGAATAACAAGTCAGAACTTTACTGGAGAAGAGTCTGATGCTACTACCTGGACAATGAAGCATTACTTCTGACCAGAGGAAAAAATCTTTTCAAGATTATATGTCACTTAAACATCTAAGGAACTTCTGAATGGGGACCCTCCAAAGAACCATCAGCAGATAGAATAACACTTGTACACTGACTCGTCCCATATATTCAGGATATTTCGATCCCAGTCAGATGTTTGTCAAGTTAAAATATTTTTAAAAAGATCTGTTTTGAAATATATAAAGATACTCTAAGTTAAACATTATTAAAAATTACATTCACACCAGTCTAACTACTGGACACCAGAGTGTGTGTGTGAGTGCGCTGAAGGTTTCAAGTTTCCATATCAAACTTGTGAAAGTTGCATATTGGATTGTGATTAGTTTCCAAACTAGTTATGAAGTCACAAAATCATTCTCATATGTTAACTCAGAGTTAAGGTGAGAACAGAGAAACTTTCCCCCAGATGAAGAGATGAATGTGAAAAAGCGTTCTAGTGCCAAACTCATCCTGCACAGCGAAGCTCAAACATGGAAATGACGCCACAAATTTACATTTTGACTGGAGGGTGACTTAAAAATCAGTTACAACACACACCTACACATACACCAATAAGACCATTCAAGAGCCCTCAACCAAACACCCACAACCTCAACACATAACCGTACACAGGTTAACTCATTTGATGGACAGGGGATATTATGTGCAGTTGTGTACAGAAGTAACTTCTGCTAAACATGCAAAAGGCAGCAAGCATTCAATCAGCTGCAATTACAACATTTACATTTTAATTTATTGCTGCTAGAACCACTTCCCTAGCCACTGAGCCACAAGCGTCAGACAAATAAACACAGAGATGATTCAAGAGGACTTGCAGAGTCATGTGCCACGCTGTTCTGTCCTGTCCTGCGCACATCAAACGCCTGCCTGGCTCCTCCACAGTGCTGCTTCAGTAACTGAGGACTCCTCTGAGTCCCCGCCACAAAGCACGTAGTCAGCACTGTCACTGACAGGCACACAGCGAGCTTACAGGGACACAACTGACACGCAATCACACACACGAACACACACACAGACATAGACACACATGCATCTAACACAAGCTAATGTATAGCCAACTGGTGTGCCCACTCTTCTCTACATGCACACGCTAATGTACTTTCAGTGTCTGTCTCTCTCTCTCTCTCTCTCTCTCGCACACACACACCTCAGCGCTAAGAGCTACTGACAGGTGGATATCAGCTCATACTGCGGTGGTGCAGTGTGGATCCGCTGTTAGCTGCTCCTCATGGCTGCTTCTGTTGCTTTATGTTGAGTTGTGCAGCTTGTTCCTTAGGTCTCATCCTTTAATCTGCCGACCATAAGGTATTATACTGTGGCTGGAAGGCTGAGCCCGCCTGCCATAGGTGGAGGTCCCGGCAGAGTTAACCTGGATCAATACCGCATGCACACCACTCAACATTACGCAAGCCCTCAAACCGTTTGCCTTGTTTTCCTCTCTGTCTCGTCTACAGCCTGTCTCTCATCGCCCCTCTCTCTACCCGTCTAACTACTCCCTCCAGCTCCCTCTGGAGAGCGAGCTTTACTTGTTCACACACACACACACACACACACACACACACACACACACACACACACACACACACACACACACACACACACACACACACACACACACACACACACACACACACACTACCTCTTCTCTCTCCCCTCCCCCTGTCTGTAGGGAAGTTCCTAACAGAGAGCGAGAACATGTACAGTAACTAGCAGGAGGCAAGTGAAGATTCATCCTCTGAGAAACAGAAACACTGATGAGTCTGGTCAATAAGCAGCGTATTTCAAAAAAACACCCCTGCCAGTCACAGCTGCTATCACTGAGGAGTCCTCGCTCTCCAAACAGCGGCAGAACAAAGCTTTGGGAAACAGCGAAACACACGCTGCGTTTCTCAAGCGCAGGGTCGAGACCCAGTGCCGGGCCGGGGGACGCTGCCTGACACACGCACGTGTTTAATTAAAGCCTGTGTGTTTGCTCTGTATGTTTTTGATCACAGTGCCTCTTACAAAAGGATTCAGTTAATTTTAAAGGATATGAAAAATGTCACTTTCTTCTTTTATGTGTGTGCTTTTAAATTGATTGTTGCCTGTCTATGTTTATGTGTATTTATTTATATATTTATTTTAATCTCAACCAGACTTTTATTTGGTTAAATAAAGGGAAGATTTAATGGAAATGATGGTTGCAACGCCTGAATTTTAATCAAACTTTATCAGTTTAAGTATTTATTTAAATGGCATGAATATTAAGTAAGTATTTGGTATCCTATAGTGAAAACTAGTTCATTAATTGATTAATCAATTGGCAGAAAATGTATTGCCAACCATTTTGATAATTAAATAATTTTTCAAGCAAATAAATTGGTGGTTCCAGTTTCTCAACTATGAAGATCCGCTATTTTTGTTTTTATGTTACTGTAAATTTAATATTTTAGTTTTCTTTTGTTGATAGTCAAACAAAAGAATCTGAAGACCTCCGCTTGGGCTCTGGGAACTTGAGATCGTAATTATTCAGTTTAATTATTATTATTCACCAAATAATTCATCAATTATTCAAGAAAATAATCAGCAGCAGATAAATTGATCATTAAAATATGTATTTAAATGCCTCAGCACTCTACTTTTAATAAAGAGTCCTGATGGTTAAGATTAACGACTATGAAAAGCAATAAAAAATAACCCCAAATTACCAGTGATATATCTATCTATAAATATTTTAATTGCACTATATTGAGCTTTACATAAAATAACTTAAACATCACAAAGAATTAAAAATAAACATGCATGTAAAGGAAAAAAGAACCAGGGATGGATAAGAACAGATAAAGAGATTAAATGATTTGCAGACTAGCAATTTTACACAAGTGAGTGAAGTGTAGTAAAGTAAATAAAGTGCGGTAACCCTGATAAGCCATCAAGAGATTAACAAGGCGGTGGGATTATCTATATAGGACGCACTTGTGCGGGTTGGGGGGACAGTACAAACAGGTTTAAGGTTAAAACTGCATCAATAGGCAGTTCTGGGCAGTAGAAAGGCGGTATTATATTTACTGTCAGAGGGGGAGAGTGGAGGGAAAACAGCTCATCGCCATCACTGTTCTCCTCACCGTCGCCTGTAAAGGAGCAGTTTCTAACATTTACGGGCATCTGGCTCTATAATGGGTGGAGTCAAATGAATAAGGACCTCCAATACATTAATTAAATAGTGCTCCTTCCAAAACCTTAGATCATCTTGTATCACGTGACTCACAAGTGGCTGAAGTGGCATTATCCCTGTCAGACTTTAATCCTGCAGCTAAAATGGCTCCAAATCCTGACCTACTCTCTGAAATGAGGCAGGGGGCTTGAAAGGAAGAGATGGTTTGGATTCAGAGCTACGTGTGTGTGTGTGCGTGTGTTTCAAAAA